CCGTTGAAACACATACATCTGGTTTGCTCCTTTGGTCTGTGGTATTCCACTCAAACATGCATACGCTGGATCGACCCTTCTCCCCCCGGTGGTAGCCCTCTGCCCCTGCCCCATTTCCCACTGCTTCTGAGGGCTGGAGGCTTTGTGGATCAGGTCCTGAGCCACTTTTCAGGAAGCCTCCTGGGCTCACAGTGGAAAGGCCAGACTCCTGGGGAGTTCACTTTGAAAGCAGGACCACCCGCAGACCCTAACTGTCTGGGTTCAAGATCAAGGACTTCCCCCAGACCACCTGCTGCAGAAGTAGGAAAGCCAGGCAGAGCCCCAGCAGCTTGCTGCAAACTTCGGCCCAGGCCTCCGCAGCTCTGCTTGCCAACAGGACCTGCTAACAGTGGGAGATAAAAAGAGCAGTACAATAAACATGATAAGGGGGCTGTTATTGAGTGAAAGGCAGCAGTAAAACAATAAAAACAAACCAACTGATTACAGTGCAAATACAAAAACAAAGAGAGATTAGATCCTTTTGACCAGGCCTTGATCTAAATAAGAACTCACCAAGAACAAGGCCTGAGGCGGGTGGCAGGGAACCCCTCCCCATGGGAGGACTTCCTCTATCCTGCAAGAATTCCTCCTTCCTCCTGGAATCGAGTCTGGGGTCCTGCTGAGCCGTTGTCCTTGTTAGGGCCCACTGCAGTGAACTCCCAGCCCAAACTTCTTCCAGTTCAGTGGCTACACATTTGAATCACCCAGCAAGATTTAAAACAAATAAGCAAACAATTTCCCAGTGGGTGGGGGTAAATCGTTTGGGGGGTGGGGAGCTGTGAATTCACACTACATTAATTGGTAGTTCTTGCTGATTGCCATCGTGTAACTACTCCTCCCATGGCCCATTTAAGTGACTCAGCTGGTTGACCAATGGGCTTGCGAATTCATTCATTCAGTAGAGTGGCATCCATTGAGAGCTCTTTGTAGCTTTTCTTGCTTTCCAAGAATTTCCAATATACACCATGATCACTGAAAAAATCAACCAATCAGATTTCACTGTGATTTATAGCCAAATAATTTATAAAGCAACTTTCTTAAATACCTTTCAGAATGTTTACAGCAGAAAATATTCCACATGGGCTGCGGGCATATCTGACCATGTTTGATAGGATACGCTGGGGCTTCCACAAGAGAGTATTTTCAGGGCCTACAGAGAGAACACGGGAGAGAAGGGGGTCCCCACTGTGGGCAGGTGGACAGAAGACGCAGCCTCCTGGTTACAGAAATCCTCCTCTGCGACCTGTAGAGTTCACAGGGCACTTTCACACAGAAGGAAGCTTCCAAGATTCCAAGAGGTAAAGTAACTTGCTCAAGGTCAAATGGCCAGGTCTCACTCAGCTCAGGACTTCTGAGCCCAGAAAGAGGCCTCTTTCCAAAACATACTAGGCCCCTCCTCATGGAGTCTGAGACCTCGACTCAGGTCTGGAAGATTTAAAGTTGGGGTACTCCCTCCCTTTGCTCCTTTCTTGACCTTCAGCCATGCCCTGCAGGGGCTGACCTGGCGGACCACAAGTTGATCCCACCTGAGCCATGAGTGCCCAAGGGGGGTGGGGGACTGTGAGCCCACAGCCTCCTGACACCCAGAAGAAAGTCTTAATTACCCATCTCCCTGCCACACCCCTGCAAGGCTTCCCAGGACAGGAGAGGTGCCTGCGGGGCAGGAGTCAGGGAAGCCAGGAAAGGTTTCAGACCTTCTGCAAGGGCGAGGAGGCACGCCAGCATGGTTTAGGAGCCAGAGCTGCCCAGGCCATATAACCCAGTAGGTCAGCCAGGCAGGTAGCCGTTCCTACAAAGATGGGGGGATTCCTCCACCCCTTGCAGTGAGATACACCGCCCCCAGGAGCTCCTTACAGACCCCCTACTTCAGTGGCAAAGCTACCGTTCCCCTTTTCCTGCACTGGGGAGGGTTAGGGACTCCCTGCATGGGCAGGGTCTCCTCAGAAGTGCAGCATTGTCTCAGTCGGAGTGAGCTCGGGCGGAGAAAACAGTTGATTGCCTCGTGTGTCATCGACTCTGGCCCACTCTGCGCTTGATCAAGTGGGGATGGGGCCTGGGGAGGTATCCCCAAATAGCCCTCAGGGTGGCCTGGGAGTTCTGGCCTCCTAGGTCAGCGTTGCAACTGAGAATCCTGGAGAGGCTCTGCTCTATACCCTCCTTGGCATGTGTCCCGGGGCAAGGCCAGCTGGGCTTAGCTGGGAGGAAGAAAGGGCAAGCTCCCTGTGCACTGGTGAGGGTGTCTGCTCCCCAAGGCAACCTCTCCTGACTCTAAAATTATATGTGGATTAAGAACACTCCATCTGGTAGGAGCAGATGGAATCGGGCAGAAGCATAATCAGGACACTGGGTTTCAGATCTACGGCTCTCCATATTTCAAGAAGAAAAATAGAAAAGACAAAAAGCCCAGGAGAGAAGCGTATGATGAGGTGTGTGTGTGTGTGTGTGCGTGGTGTTTATGTGCCACATGATGTGGGGAGGGGACACTGACTCAGCGCGTGTGATAGGAAAGTGATTTTGCAAGGAGCGGATTCATCAAAGGAAATGGGAAATTGAAGTCAGAGTAGATGAGGGAACCGAACAGTGGGGCAAAAGAGGAGCAGAGAAAGACAGCGATGCCCTCCAGGCTCCCAGAGCACAAAACAGTCTAACAAAAGTCTGCAGAAGGAGAGGAGAGGTCCTGCTGACGTGGGATCCTGGAGGGCCTAAGGGCAGCCCTCCCTCCCTGACCGAGGAGTGAAAGCAGCCGGAAGTGCCGTGTCCGTCAGTCCAGCACGGGGCTCGGGCCCGTGAGCAACACAAAACCTGACCTGCAGGTACTTGAACAAATAGGGGTTTCTTTGTTTCACAGAGGAAAATACCTGAAAGCGGGTGGGCCTGGTGCTCGGTGGTGTTGGGGCTGCGATCTCGATGGTTCTCTTGGCTTTTCCTGTGGAAATAATTACTGTGGTTTCAAATATCAGGAACCTTTTCAAAGTAGGGAGAAAGAGAAGGGCACGCAGCCAGGCAGCCTGTCCCAGGAGGCTCTTTTCCACTTGCACCCCACGGGCCAGAACCAGTCACATGGTCACCCCCAGTCACAGGCAGGCTGGGGACACAGAGCGCCGGCTTGCCAAGGCTGAGCCGAGGCAGGGGGCTGCTCTTAGGGAAGAAGGAGAAATGGAGAGCTGGAAGGCAAGCACGCCCAGACCCGACACCCTGAATGGCAAACATTTTCGGTAAAGACTAAATGAATATTCCAAAGTTGAGCTGAAAGAGTCTCCAGAAAACAGTGAGGCCCTGCTTTGAGAATGGCAATCCAAGACCTTTGAGGCCATCACTTCAATCATCACTGTCTCCTTTAATCTACACAGTGACCGCCTGAGCTAAATGCTCTGATTTCTCCCACACTGCAGACCGGGAAAGAGGGTCCTGCTTTGCACATCATGCTTTGCAGGAATCCATCTGAGTCAGATATCACAGGCTCTAACACAGATACTCCTCAGCCTTTTGGTCCTGAACTGTTTGCTCCATATAAGAAGCTATCCTCGGGGCGCCTGGGTGGTTCAGTCGTTAGGCATCTGTTTTCAACTCAGGTCATGGTCTGGGATCGAGCCCCGCATCCGGCTCCCTGCTCGGTGGGAGGCCTGTTTCTCCCTCTCCCACTCCCCCTGCTTGTGTTCCCTCTCTCGCTGTGTCTCTGTCTGTTGAATAAATAAATAAATCTTTAAAAAAAAAAAGAAGAAGCTATCCTCGGGGATGCCTGGGTGGCTCAGTCGGGCTCCTTGCTCGGCGGGGAGCCTGCTTCTCCCTCTGCCTGCCGCTTCCCCTGCTTGTGCTCTGTCTCTGACAAATAAATAAATAAGTAAAATCTTAAAAAAAAAAAAAAAAAAAGAAGAAGAAGCTATTCCCCTTCACTAAATTACTGATCTCCGACCCTTCCCCAGGATCAAAACGCCAGTAAAGAGGCCTTTGAAGTCAAACAGACCTGCGTGCAAATCCGCATTCTTCGACTTGTCAGCACGCGGCTTTGGGCAAGCTACTGAGCTCCCCTGGCCTCCCAAACCTTGAGAGGCCGTAGGATTAAATAGATGGTGGATTAGGGCCCCCAGCGCAGTGCCTGGAAACAGCAGGTGTTTGAGAATATCCATGCCTCGCCACAGACACAGCAATGTGGAAATTCAGCCACGGACCACCTCTGGTTTTTGCCTATTTCCCACACACTTTCCTGACAAAATCTAACTCTATAATCAGGAGTCCTCTGTTCTGTTTTCCTTTGCCACTGAAACACCGACTTGGCTTGAAGTCCTCGGTAGTTACTTCAGCGAACCCTTCCCGAGCATCTACGGCGGGCCGGGCCCTCTGCTGCCGGGGCGGCCGGCCCTTAGCCACGGGAGTGTGTGGTCTAGCTGTGGAAGGGCACGCGCAGGCAAACGACTCTAAGACAAGGCAGGGCATAGTGAGAGACGTGCCGTGATTGCTCCAGATGTGGGGACTTCAGACGCGGCAGAGGCTATCTGGGCACGCTGCGGTCTTACCATTCCTTCCCTAAGGAACAGTTCTCCAGGGCGGCTGCGGAAAAGGGGCCACCCGAACAGGCTATATAACTTGCAGCGCCCCTTGTAAAAAAAAAAAAAAAAAAATCTTAAGAATTTCGGCAACAGCAGAGCCTTAAAGCAAGTGTGGGGCCATTTTGAGCACAGGGCCTTTGTGACGGTACAGGTCACATGCCCATGCAGCCAGCCCTGGGTGCCACCATTCCATGGCCCCCGTGCCAGCCCGTCAGATCCCACAGAGACAGCAGCTGCTGCCTCTGGGAGAGCTAGGCACAGGGCAGACCCTGTGGGAGATGGGCCCGCAGGCCTCCTCCGAGCTAGTGACCATGTGTCACGGCTCCTCACTTCTGCCTGAGAAGACTCGTTTCTGTCTGATGAGAGTCACTGGGGGTGAGATGGGTTTCCCCAAGCTGAAATGGACAGCAATTTCCCCACTGTGAGAAAGAGCCGCCCTGCAACTGTCTCAGGGTGGTTGACAACGGCCTGTCCCTCGCTGTGTCTTCTGCCTCACCACAAACCACCGGCAGGTTCAGGAGCCAAGAAAAGGGAGGGGAGCCCCTGGCACTAGCAATCCCAAATAAAGGAAGTTCCAGAGACACTCTGTTCTCGGAGACAGATGCATGGACTGAAACTGAAATAGGGCATGTAATAAGCTATATAGTACACATTAATATTTATTTGGTGCCACAGCATAAAAGTGAGATATCAAGTGGTGTCCTTGGGCTGGTTGGGCCCTCCAGAGGTCAACTAGGCCATCCTTCTGCCTCCAGCTATTTCAGGGAAAAAACAAAAAGTTCTGTGATGTTCCACATCATTAGGGCATCAGTCACCTGGGAGATGATTTCACCTTTAGAGGGCTGCTTTGCTGCCCACTTATGACCTATTCTGACCCTCCTCAGAGCCCAGGAACAGATTGCTGTCAATGCCCTAGTTTGGCTGAGGACCTCTATTTCCGTGCACTGCCTTTGGGAGCAACTCTGACGGTGGGCATCCCAGCCCCACCCTTTTTGCTTCAGCTCCAGACGCCAGGCCAGAAGGACATAAGGCTAGGCATAGGATCCTCCCAGCTGTGAGGCCAGAAGTAAGGAAACCAGAAGTGTGTCATGGTTTAACTGTGCTGCACTTGCCAGGTCAGGCCTGAATTCAGTCCTTTAGAACCCTGAGTTACAGGAAGGGTTATAAACCCTCCTCTGCATGAGGACTTCCTGAATGCCCCTCCTTCGAAATGAGTTTGGGTCATGCAGCCTGGTCCCTCCAGAGACATCCTGAGTGATGGGTCACAGCCAAGACAGGTCTCCTGGTGGGTCCTTAAGCTCCAGGGAAGCTGGGGCTTTGTAATGAGCCTCTGTGTATCCCCTTTGTGCCGAGCCCAGGAATCAGCATCTGGCACTCAGAGGGTAGAGGCAGAATTTCAGCTTGGCCGGTCCTCTTTAAAAATGATACTTTTGGGCTACTATCAAAAAACTGGAAAATAACACGTGCCAGGATTTGGAGAGAAATTGGAATGCTAGCACACTGTTGGTGGAAAGTAAAATGGTGCAGCCACTGTGGAGAACAGTATGGTGGTTCCTCAGAATGTTAAAATTACCATACGATCCAGCAATTCCACTTCTATGTATCCAAAAGAACTGAAATTAGCATCTTGTGTTTTGTTTTTTTTTTAAGATTTTATTTATTTACTTGAGAGAGAGAAGGAGAGAACGAGCGAGAGAGCACAAGCAGAGGGAGCAGCAGAGGGAGAGGGAGAAGCAGGCTTCCCGCTGAGCAGGGAGCTCAACATGGGGCTCAATCCCAGGACCCCGGGATCATAACCCGAGCCGAAGGCAGACACCCAACTGACTGAGCCACCCAGGCGCCCTGAAACTAGCATCTTTTTTTTTTTTTAAAAGATTTTATTTATTTATTTGACAGAGAGAGACACAGAGAGAGAGGGAACACAAGCAGGGGGAGTGGGAGAGGGAGAAGCAGGCTTCCCGCCGAGCAGGAAGCCCAATGCAGGGCTCGATCCCAAGACCCTGAGATCGTGACCCGAGTTGAAGGCAGATGCTTAACAACTGAGCCACCCAGGCACCCCTAAAACTAGCATCTTGAAAAGATATGCGTATATGTTCACGGCAGTAATATTCACAATAGCCAAAAGGTGAAAGCAACTCAAATATCCATTTACAGACAAATGAATAAACCAAATGTGACATACACATACAACAGAATATTATTCAGCCTTAAAAAGGGAGGAAATTAAAAACTAATGATGTAGTGTATGGTGACTAACATAATAAAATAAAATTAATAAAAAAAAGGGAAAGAAATTATATTATATATAGCTACCCTATAACAAAGATGAACCTGGAGGACATTATGCTAAGTGAAATACACCAGTCACAAAAGGGCAAATACTGTATGAGTCCATTTATATGAGGGTACTTGGAATAGTCAAATTCATAGAGAGTAGAATGGTGGTTGTCAGTGTTCTTGTTCAATGGGCACAGAGTTTCAGTTTTGCAAGATGAAAGTGTTCTAGAGATTGGTCACACAACAATGTGAACATACTTAATGCTACTGAACTAAACAAACAATCTTAAAATTTATATGGAACCACAAAAGACCTTGAATAGCCAAAGCAATCTTGAAAAAGATAAACAAAACTGAAGGTATCACAATTCCAGATTTCAAGTTATATGACAAGGTGGTAGTAATTAAAACAGTATAGTAGTGGCATAAGAATAGACATATATAGATCAGTAAAACAGAACAGAAAACTAGAATTAAACCCACAATTATATAGTCAGTTAATCTTCAACAAAGGAGGAATGAATACCCAATGGGAAAAAGACAGTCTCTTCAACAAATGGTGTTGGGAAAACTGGACAGCCATGTGCAAAAAAATGAAACTGGACAATTTTCTTCCACCATACATGAAAATAAACTCAAAATGGATTAAAAATCTAAATGTGAAACCTGAAACCATAAAAATCCTTGAAGAGCGCACAAGCAGTAATTTCTCTGGTATCGGTTGTAGCAACATTTTTCTAGATATGTGTCCTGAGGCAAAGGAAATAAAAGCAAAAATAGGGGCGCCTGGGTGTCTCAGTCGGTTAAGTGTCTGCCTACAGCTCAAGTCATGGTCTCAGAGTCCGGGGATTGAGCCCCGTGCTGGGCTCTCTCCTCACCTGGGAGTCTGCTTCCCCCTCACTCTCCCTCTGTGTCCTCTCTCTCTCTCTCTCAAATAAATAAATAAATAAATAATCTAAAAAAAATAAAAGCAAAAATAAACTGTTGGGACTACATCAAAATAAAAAAGTTTCTGCACAGCAAAGGAAACACTCAGCAAAACTAAAAGACAACCTATGGAATGGGAGAAGATATTTGCAAATGACATTTCTTTTTTTTTTTACAGATTGATTTATTTATTTTATTTTATTTTATTTTAAAGATTTTATTTATTTATTTGAGAGAGAGAATGAGGGAGACAGAGAGAGAGCGCATGAGAGAGGGGAGGGTCAGAGGGAGAAGCAGACTCCCTGCTGAGCAGGGAGCCCGGTGCGGGACTCCATCCCGGGACTCCAGGATCATGACCTGAGCCGAAGGCAGTCGCTTAACCAACTGAGCCACCCAGGTGCCCACAGATTGATTTATTTATTTTAGAGAGAGAAAGAGAGAAAGCACAAATGGGGGGAGGGGCACAGGGAGAGAGAGAGAGAGTGAAAAAAAATCCTCAAGCAGACTCCCCACTGAGCGAGGAGCCCAATGCAGGACTGACAGGGGGCTTGATCCCAGGACCCCAAGATCATGACCTGAGACAAAACCAAGAGTCAGCTGCTTAACTGACTGAGACATGCAGGTATCCCGGCAAATGACTTTCTGAAAAAGGATTAGTATCGAAAGTATATAAAGAACTGATACAACTCAACACCCAAGAAACAAATAATCCAATTTAAAAATGGGCAGAAGACATGAACACACATTTCTCCAAAAAAGACATCCAGATGGCCAACAGACACATGAAAAGATGCTCATCATCACTCCTCATCAGGGAAATGCAAATCAAAATTATCTATGGGATATCGCCTCACACCTGTCAGAATGGCTAAAATAAAAAACACAAGAAACAACAAGTGTTGGTGAGGATGTGGAGAAAAAGGGACCCTTGTGGATGTTGGTGGGAATGCAAACTGGTGCAGCCACTGTGGATAACAGTATGGAGGTTCCTCAAAAAATTAAAAATAGAACTACCCTGTGATCCAGGAATAGCACTGCTGGGTATTTACCCCCCAAATAGGAAAACATCAATTCACCCCGACATTTATAGCAGCATTATTCACAATAGCCAAGATATGGAAGCAGCCCCAGTGTCCACTGATTGAAGAATGGAGAAAGAAGATGTGGTATACAAATACAATGGAATATTTTTCAACCGTAAAAAAGAATGAAATCTTGCCATTTGCCACAACATGGATGGAGTCAGAAAGGACAATGCTAAGGGAAATAAGTCAGTCAGAGAAAGACAAATACCATTTGATCTCACTCATATGTGAAGTTTAAGACAAAACAAACAAGCATAGGGGGGAAAGAAGGGGAGTGACAAACCAAGAAAC